CTTTTGGGTGTGAACCCTTCTAGGCCCGCCGGAGTAATAAAGTGTGTTCCTCTGTTTCCCTGAGTGCCGCTTGGGTTTCTTGTCAGGTAAAATTTTCCTCAACGGATGCAATGGAATGAATGCAGCTCACTGCAGCCTTGACCTCCTGGGCTCCAATGATCCTCCTGCTTCAACCTCCCATGTAGCTGAGACCATAGGTGTGCACCACCACACCTATGTTAGCCATGCTAACGTTTCAATTTTTTTGTATAGACAGGGTCTTGCCTTGTTGCCCAAACTGGTCTTGAACTCCTGGATTCCAGCTATCCTCCCCCTTGGCTTCCCAAATTGCTGGGATTACTGGCATGAACCACCACACCTAGCCCAAGAGTTTTGCAGTAGCAAGAAAATGTCAGATGAATTGAAGTTTTTTAGCTAGAATGATTTTAAGGAAGTGCCATTAGTGAGCATGAAGGGAGCGATCAGGGAACTAAGAGTGCTCTATTGTAAGACTCTTCTAGTAAAAATTAAATAGACTTTCTAGTCAAATAGATCAGTGTTATAATCCTGCCATTTAGGCCAGCATAGTGGCTCACACTTGTAATCCCAACACTTTGGGAGGCTGAAACGGGTGAAGCTTTACTAAAAAATAAAAAAAAAATTAGCCAGGTGTCATGACACGTGCCTATAATCCCAGCTTCTCGGGAGGATGAGGCAGGATAATCACTTGAACCTGGGAGGCAGAAGTTGCAGCGAGCCGAGATCACACACCATTACACTTCAGCCTGGGTGATAGAATGAGACTCCCATCTCAAAAAAAAAAAAAAAAAATATATATATATATATATATATATATAGCCGTTTATACACACCATATAACTTCAAGCGAAGTTGCTGAAACTCTCTGAGCCTTAATTCCTCACCCACAAAAATGAGAATAATAACGATGATTGATAAAGAAAGTCGTTGTTGCTTAACTCCTCAGCATCTGTCTCCCCTTTCTTCCAGCAACGTGCCTAAACTGTCATGTGGGATCTGCCTACTCCACTCAGAAAGTGCATGGATAAGATTCCATCCCAACAAGGTTGACTGACCACCTCACTGGCTTCCATGGTGATTGCCTCAGGAGTAGACATATGACCCAAATTGGGCCAAATCTCAAGACTTTAGTTTTGAGCAGATTTTTTCTGTCCACAGGCTGTGAAGCTGAGAGCTGGATATATATAAAGTTTAGAGTTGCTGTAACCCTCTTGCAATCTCAGAGGAGCTTCTGGAACTGCAAGATAGACTGCATGGAGCCTGAACATGAAGCCCTCATAGCAAGAGGCAGAGTGAAGAGACAGAGAAATTGAGCCATTAAGGACATTGGTTAAGTCCTTGTTTACAGCAGTGCTGTACATCAGCCATCCTGGTGGACTTTTCCAGTTACTTGACTTTAATCATAAACGATTATGCTGTAATCATAAATACTTCCTAAATGCTCATATGCTTACAACAACAAAAAATATTTCTTGCTTATGCTCCATGGGCTACCTGCAGCTCTGCTTGATTGTTGTTTTTAATCTGGGATTCAGTAAAATAGAGCAGTCTCTCTAGAAAATCACCTGTTGTAACAGAGGGAAGGGAGAGTAGGAAAAGAAGTGCTGGCTCTAAACTATCTGCCTGAAGTTGCTTCCCACTTGCGTATAATTGGCCAGAACAAATCACATGCTCAAAATTGATGTCACAGGGTGGATAGGGGTGGCAAAGGTTTTTGAAAAATAATAGTGTAACCTGTAAGTATATTTCCCGTTTGCTTAAGTGAGCTTGGGCCTTATTTTCTGTCACCTGAAACCAAAAGAATTTCTTTTTTTTTTTCAAGAGACAGAGTCACTCTGCCACCCAGGTTGGAGTGCAATGATGCCATCTCAGCTACAGGCATGTGCCACTATGCCCAGCTATTTTTTTGTATTTTTTGTATAGATGGGGTTTCACTATGTTGCCCAGGCTGGTCTCCAACTCCTGAGCTCAAGCAATCCTTCCACCTCAGCCTCCTGAAGTGCTAGGATTACAGGTATGAGCCACTGTGGCTGGCTCAAGATAAATTACTTAAGGAGACAGATACCCCAATTTGATAATGTGTCAAATTATCACATGCACCCCCAAAACATGTACATCTATTATGTATCAATAAAAAAAATTTTAGGCCAGGCGTGGTGGCTCACGCCTGTAATCTCAGCACTTTGGGAGGCTGAAGTGGGTGGATTACTTGAGGTCAGGACAGGAGTTTGAGACCAGCCTGGCCAACATGATGAAACCCTGTCTACTAAAAATACAAAAATTAGCTGGGCATGGTGGTGCATGCCTGTAATCTCAGCTAAGTGGGAGGCTGAGGCAGGAGAATCTCATGAACTTGGGAGGTAGAGGCTGCAGTGAGCCAAGATTATGCCACTGCATTCCAGCCTGGGTGGCAAAGCAAGACTGTCTAGAAAAAAAAAAAAAAAAGATTGTTTTAAAGAAATAACATAATATGAGGGTTCAGTGTCTTATGGTGACAATACCAAACTCTTACAGTTTGTGCTTGAGAAAATAAACATTTAAGAAATTACTATTCAGAAAAAGGTTATATTTGGTATAGTAAAACAGAACCAGAAATATGAATACTATTCACTGACTCACTACTCATCAATCCATTTGTCCAATATACCCTTATTAGCATCTACCAAGTTCCAGGTCCTCTTGGAGTAGAAAAATAAATAACATTTGTTCTTTTTAAAGAACTTGAAATATGGTCATCAAGAGTGATGAATTGAAATTATATACAAAGGTTCTATAATAGTTTTTTTTTTAAATCAATAATGCTGATGATCCTGGGGGATAGTCAGACTGGTGGGAAAAACTACAGGGAAAAGACACAAACTTTCTGAAAGGTCGGCTTCTGAAGGCAGCTGTTCTATAATTCTGGGGCAGAGGGCAAGGCACAATGTTCAAGGGAGTATAGGAGAATTTGTCTTAAACAGGTTTGTTTACTTGTTTACAGGAACTGACCTTTGTGCACGAGCATGACGTTCCCGAAAGGGGAACAATAAATTTTAATTACCTACAGGTCGTGTTTGCTCCAGGTTTTCAGCTTTGTGCCTGTACTGAATAAAAGCATGCAGCTCCAGGTTCTCAGGGCTGCTCTCTGGTCACTAGAGCCAGGCAGTCACCTAGCTACTCTTACACTGCATACTTGTGTCTGAGTACTCATTTCATCCATCTGCCAGGGTCTGCGGGACAGACCCAGCAGATGATGGCTAACATTGTCAAAATTCCCAAATCTAAAAACCAGTGCTCAGCTGGGCATGGTGGCTCATGCCTGTAATCCCAGCATTTTGGGAGGCTGAGGTAGTCAGATCACCTGAGGTCAGGAGTTCGAGACCAGCTGGGCAACATGGTGAAACCCCGTTTCTTCAAAAAATACAGAAGTTACCTGGGTGTAGTAGCACATGCCTGTAGTCCCAGCTACTCAGGAGGTTGAGGCAGGAGAATCGCTTGAACTTGGGAGGTGGAGGTTGCAGTGAGTTGAGACCACCTCACTGCACTCCAACCTGGGCGACAAGAGTGGAAATCCCATCTAAAAATAAATAAATAAATAAAAATCAGTGCTCAACCCTTAACTTGCTCCGCAAGCAATTGACAGAGTTGATCCTTCCCTTGTTCTTTACTTGCTCTGTCTGTAACTCCCCTCCTGGTTCTCCTCCTGTGATCAGTCCTCTAGTCTCTGCTACACTGTTGCCACACTCACCCACTGGATGTTCTTATTCAGCCATCTGGCTTTAAGCATCATCTCATGATGGCTCCCAATTTTCTGACTCCACCCCAGCTTCTCTCTACAACTCCAAAACAGTTATCCTATTGCCTTCTTGATTAACAAGCATCTCACAGTTATCATTACCAATCTGTACTCCAGACCCACACAGCTCTAAACCTGCACCTCCTCAGGGGTTCCCAGCCCAGTAGAGTTTACCCTGGAGTAACCCCTGAGGCCAACCCTGGAGTAATTCCTAATCTCTTTTCTTCTTTCCCCTCAATTTCTAATCCATCCTCAAATCTGTGAATTCTTACTTTCAAAACACATCTCGAATCTAATAACTTCTCCTCTTTTTCCCTCCAGGATGTCACTTGACCTGGACTCTTAAGTAGTCTCTGCTAACTGGCTTTCTGCTTCCATTTTTGTCCTATTATTTTTTACACAGCAGCCAGATAAATCTTTAAAAACTAAGTCACACCATGGCTCTTCTCTATTCAAAACCTTCCGGCTGCTTCTTTTTATCCTCTGCCCTTACGTATGATCACGACTCATTCCCTCTTTTCCCATGTCCCCTCAGCTCTCTGCATAAATATCACTTTATCAGGAAACTCTTCCCTAATATCATCTCAAATACCAGTGCCTTCTTCCTCTACTCTGTAGTTCCTATTATATTTTTCCTTGTCCCTGGATATTACACTATGTGTTAATCTGTTTATGTTCTCTTTCCCGCAGGAGAACGAAAATGCACCATCAAGATCTTGTCTTTCACTAATTGTATTTTCAGGCCGGGCGCGGAGGCTCATGCCTGTAATCTCTGCACTTTGGGAAGCTGAGGGAGTGGAATTCGAGACCAGCCTGGTCAAGATGGTGAAACCCCGTCCCTACTAAAAATACAAAAATTAGCTTGGTGTCTTGGCCCACGCCTATAATCCCACCTACTTGGGAGGCTGAAGCAGGAGAATGGCTTGAACCCGGGAGACGGAGGTTGCAGTGAGCCGAGATCGCGCCACTGCACTCTCAGCCTGGGCGACAGAGCGAGAATCCGTCTCAAACCAACCCACAAAAAAACCTTTCATTATCAGTGCCAAAAAAGATCTGGAAGGAGGTGGGCACTCAGATGCTTTATTCACCACGCTAGGTATTATTCTTAACACTTTATGTATCTGTTATATTATCCCAACATAATTAGATTTGCTGCATTGCTGTCCATATTTCGTAGATGTGATGGCTGAAGCACAGAATCATTAGGTAACTTGCCCAAAGTGGCATTCATGACTCATGAATGGCTTAGGTTGTAAAGTAAACCCAGATGCATTCCCCAGGGACGCCCTCTCTTCTCTTCAACAGCGAGCGTTGACGTCAGGTTAGGGCTGCCCTCCTGGGGCGGGTTGAAGGCAGGGTGAGCCTCCCGAAGTCCAGGAGATCATTGCACACCCAGTCACCAGCGTTCGAGAGCCTGTCGCAGAGAGAAGGACGGAATCCAAAGCAGGCGACAGGGCGCGGAAGCGGGATGTACTTCTATTGGGGCGCCGGATCCCGCGGGCTGCAGCGCCGGAGGACGGAGGGCAGCCCCGGGGCTGAGCTACTGCAGGCGGCCAGCGGGGAGCGCCACGCTCTGCTGCTGCTGACCAACTCCTTGGTCCACTCGTGCGGAGAGAACAGCCGGGGCCAGCTGGGCCGCAGGGGCGCGCCGCGCTGGGACCTGCCAGGTGAGCGCAGACCCCAGGCACAGGGTGTAGGGACCCCGGTGCATGGACGCGGGGGCTCGGGTACCCGGCGCAGGGAACCGGGTGCAGAGCGCGGGGCGCGGGGACCCGGGTGAGGGGCTCGGGGACCCGGGTGAGGGGCGCGGGGTCCCAGATGCGGGGTGTGGCTCAGATGCTGGGCGCCACGGGCCAAGCAGGCAGGGGTGCTGGGAGCCTCGGAGCCCTCGGGACCCGAGGAGCCAAAGGAACTGGGAGAATTGTGCCCTGTGCTTCCGAAGCGCAACTTCCTCAGTTTCGTTTTCCCGCCGCCCCTGGGGTTCATTTCGGTTTCCAATTCAAGTTCAAAGCGAAACTGAGAGTCAAAACTAACCCGCCGCGCTGCTCTGGAAAGAAATATGGTCCCTCCGGCTTGCCTTGCAGACAAATCCTCGCCTGCGCGGTTCTACCTGGAGAAGGCAGCCTGACCGTACAAACGTAGTTTGCGGGTTGGACACCTGTAACTTCCTTAGAAATACCCTGGGGCATTTTTTTTCTTAAAAAATATATGATAATACAATAATCATTATAGATTATTGTAGAAATACGAGAAAGAACTCACCTGTAGCTCCAACATCCAAAGATAACTCCTAACATTTTGATGCATTTTCTCCTTGTCTACTTTTTTCAATGTATGTATTTAATGTTTTATAAAAATCATGCCATTATAGATTTGTATATGCAGTATTTATTGCAACTCTATACATTGTGTTTTCATCAAACATGATCATATGAACATACTACCCTTTTATTATATATGTTTTGAAAATACATTTTAAATTGCTGCATAACATTCCAAACTCTGAGAGTACCATAATTATTCTCTTTTTGTGGAAAGTAGATTGTTTCCCACTAGGGGCTTTTATAAATAATTCTGATTGATGTTCTTGTAAGGAAATAATTTGACCACATATCTGATGACTTGCTGAGAATAGTTTCAAAAGGTGTGTGGAGAAGGAAAATTTTTCCTCTACCCTCTTAGATTCAGCATCTGGGGCCTGCAAATTTAACTGACAAAAGACAGATCGACAGGAGAAAAAGCATACAATTTTATTAATCTTTTACATATAGGGGGATTTACATGCACAGGAATTTGCAAAATAGTAGTGAAACTCAAGTGCTTTGACTTAGGGGCTTGTGTATCACATTTAACAAAGGAAAGGGGGGTTGGACTTTAAAGGACAATGAACTCGGGGAAAGTGACTAGAAAATATAAGGGAAAATCTAAGGGAAGATAAGGGTTAATTTATTAGAGTTGTTTATGCAGACTCATCCCAGTGCCAAGTCTTCATCTTAGGTGACCCTTCTCTTGGTGCAGGAGATGGGAGCTTCTCACAAAAGGATATTTATGCCCTACTTTTAGGTAGATAAGAAGAGAGCAGAGAACTCTTCCTGCATCTGTTGATTCTCAGTTACCTTCAGCTCAAATTCTTATGGTATAGTAGCATGTTTTCAGATCTGATCACCTTCATTTGGCAATGGAGGGCAACACGATACTTAATGCCAAATTGTTCTCCAGAAAAATGGTAACAATTTCTGTCTTTCCGAGTGCATGAATCTTTGGGAAATTTTAACCTTGCATAGAGTGACAGTAAATAGTTGAAAAAAAATTATGAAGATAAAAGGAAAAACAAAATCTTAAATGTTACAAAAACTTTACTCGTATGATGTTCTCAACTCTCATAATTCAGAGACAGATCCCTTGGGAAAACAGTTTAGATTGGCTTGTAGGGAAATGTGATGCGGTTTTCATTTGTGGGCATATTTAGGGCCTCCATAGGGGCATATTTTTTCACTTTTCATTGTAAGAGGATCCAGCACCTGCCTGTCACACTCATGAGGTAAGCTCCTTTCCAATTTCCTTCTGAGCAAGAGATTCACTGCTTTCAGTGTTTAGGGTGGGAGGACAGAGTAGCAGAATGGAGGAGATCCCAACTTTTTCTGGGTCCCTTTATTTCGCTAGGGTTTGCTAAAACCATCATAGAGAAATATCTGGTTATGCGTCATAGTCCCTAGAGGTTACCCCCTCCATGATGCCTACTCCTTTAAGTAACAGACATTAAAAGATAGACTTGGATACATTAAATGTTTTTAAGAGTTAATTTGAACATTCAGCAGTTCATGAATTGAGCAGCACCAGACCTCAAGCAGTTGGGCTCCACTGAGGGCGGTGCAAGGAGATGCGAGGGGAAACCTTTGATATGGTGTTCAGGAAGCAAGACAAAGAAAATATTTGATTGGTTAAAGTGGAAAGTCCCTTGTTAGAAGTAGTCAGAAGCTTCTTGTTTATAAAGTCTCTAGTTAGTTGGTGGTTTCTGATTGGTTAACCTTAAGTTTCATTTTCCTGGGCTATGACCAACCACTCTGAGTTGGGTTTTGGTTTGTTTATGCAGGAACCCAAGGCGCTGGAGCCATCTCAACTTAATAATCTCCCAGTTAATTATTTTAACAGAGCTGTATCCCATAAAGACAGGGTAACTGTTCCTGCGTGAGTTTGCTAAAGATAATGGCCTCCAAAAAATAAAATAAAGGGTAACACACATTGAATCTACTTCCTTCAGACATTTAGCATGAACTTTAGGTCTCAGTTTAAAATACCATTGGAGGAGACAAGAAATCTGGATGATCCTTCTTTTTGAAGAAAAGTGCTGTCTTAAACTTGTTAAACTAATAATCTGGTGGTGGCGGTTGGGGGGTGTTTTGTTTTGTTTCCCAAAGAACCAGTTCAGGCATTGAAAACCCTAAAGTTTGATCTTGTGAGCTGCGGAAAGGAGCACTCCCTGGCTGTGTGCCACAAAGGAAGGGTCTTCGCATGGGGAGCTGGTTCTGAAGGGCAGCTGGGGGTTGGAGAATTAAAGGAAATCAACTTCACACCTAGGTAAGTATTTCAATGCTTCCCTTCATTTATTCAATATATTTAGTACCATGTGCCACACACTGTGCAAGATGCCAGGATACAAAGATGACTATGACAGGCCAGCTGCAGTGGCTTACATCTGTAATCCCAACACTTTGGAAGGCTAAGGTGGGCAGATCACTTGAGGTCAGATGTTTGAGGCCAGCCTAGCCAATATGGCGAAACCCTGTCTCTATAAAAAATACAAGAAAATTACCCTGGCATGGTGGCAGGCGTCTGTAATCCCAGCTACTCAGGAGCCTGAAATGGGAGAATAGCTTGAGCCTGAGAGGTAGAGGTTGCAGTGAGCTAAGACAGCACCACTACACTCCAGCCTGGGCAGCAGAGCAAGACTGTCTCAAAAAAAAAAAAAAAAAAAAAAAAAAAAAAAAGCCTATGAGAAACACAATTCCTAACCTGAAGGCCTGCAGAGTGAGGGAAGAAGGCAGGGAAAAAACTACAACACCAATTATTATTTAATTAGAGCAGAGTCAAATGAGATGTGACCCTTTGATCTTAATCTTATCTCTTGGAATATAACTGTAAGGGCCCATTTAGACCTCCAGAGTGAATATAAAGACTAAAGTGGGTGTAAAGTAGAAACATTTGAGCTGCAAAAGATGCAGACATAAATCTTACCTGAACTTCCTTTATCACACTAAAACAGAGCCTCCTGAAAATACAGTTGCCAGTAACTTCCTTGAGTGAGAGTTCCTGGGTGTTCAGTTGTCATGAAGACAGACCACCCATTACCATTACTATCAAAAAGCCCAGTAGACCCTTCTATACTTTCCCACTGAAGTCCTGAAACCCCGCCTTTTATTAAGTTGACATATATAAAACTTTACCTTGGGATATTCTGCAATAGTAAGCATGCTTGTAAATAACCTTTGTCTTTTCTCTTGTTAATCTATTGTCAGTTAATTCACAGGTTTAAATATTGGACCAAAGGTGGAAGAGGAAAAATTTTTTTCCCACCATAACTTTTTGGCTTGTCATAAATCACTAGACTTTAATATCTTACTTAGTAAAATAGAGGGAAATATCACATTTCCTCACAAACAACTTCCCAGGACAGATATGACACGTAGTCGGCTCTGAATTTTGTGTTTATGAATTACATACTTAAGGAATTTTCAAACATATGCTTTTTAATTTTAGGGAGTGACTTCTTGTTACATCTTTCAGTCATTAAATTCTAGAAGAGATCAATGTGACTTGGAGGAATGAGCATTGAATTTGGAATAAAAAGATCATAATTTGAGTCTAGTTCTACAACATCATACCTATTTGACCTCTTTGAGTTCCATTAGATTCACCTTATGAAATTGCCAATAGTGGCCAGGTGCAGCGGCTCATGCCTGTAATCCCAGCACTTTGGGAGGCCAAGGTGGGCAGATCACCTGAGATAAGGAGTTTGAGATCAAGATCAGCCCGACCAACATGGTTTCACCATGTTGTATACTTAAAAAAAAAAAAAAAAAATTAGTCAGACGTTGTGCCACATGCCTATAATCCCAGCTACTTGGGAGGCTGAGGCAGAAGAATCACTTGAACCTGGGAGGTGAAGGTTGCAGTGAGCCAAAATCATGCCACTGCACTCTAGCCTGGGCAACAAAGCAAGACTCCATCTGGGGGGAATGAAAGAAAAAAGGAAATTACCAATAGTTATCTGGTTTTGATCCACAAAAATGGTGGCAATTTTGTATGATTTAACCTAATAATTTTTTAATTAAATTAGGGCTTAAATTAGATGATGATGAAGATGTTCATGTTCTATAAATTCTAAAGCTCTTTACTATATATATAGAAAAAATTTATTTTTCTTTTAGGCTAATAAATGTAGAATAAAATTAGTATGTTAGGTACTGTATTGGAGTCCAGTAACAATTGCTTTTGCATTATGTACTGTTTTGGATTCTGTCCTATACCTTTGTACATGTTGATGTCATGTAAAAACAGTTTGAGGGCTTTAGAATAAAGGCACTACAGAAATACAAGAAAATTAAATTGTTTTTCTGGACCAGATGTATTACCTGAGATACTTTTAAATATCTGTAGTCCACTGAACAACTTACTCTAATCTAAATAAGGATTAATGAATTTTGTATTGTTTTTATTATAGGAAAATAACGACTCTGAATGGTATAAAAATAATACAAGTTTCCTGTGGACATTACCACTCCCTGGCATTATCAAAAGGTAAGAAATACTTTTTGGATCTGAGTGTGATTAGGAAGTAATTTTTTGAATAGGAATTATAGCTATTGATTTTTAATACACTGGGGCTCATTTAGAAGTTTTTTACTCTCCAGGTTTCAAAGGATATATTGTTTTTCTATTTTTTTCTCAAATTTCTTGGGCCTTATTATACTCTAGACAGTCCCTAATTCATAATGCCATAAGGGGCTGTCTCTGGTTATTTGACCTAACTGGCCAACTCTCTCAGCTTAGTAGTGGCTTTATTTCCAGCCCTTTGCTCTTTATTTTGCCCTTTGCTAAATGGCTTGTCCACACTGGCAAACCCAAACAGACTAAGGACAATTTGTCTGTTTCACTTAGATCAATGAAAAAGAAGTCAAGGTGTCCAAATCATGACTCTGTATTTTTCATTTTTTAATTTGTACTTATTTATCTTTATTGACACATAATAATTGTACATCTACATTCCACCAAGCTCCACCCTCCATTGTCCATCCTCAATCCAAATTTCTCAATGGAGAGTCTGAAGGAGGAAAAATTTTTTCTCTACCCTTTTACATGCAGTATTTGGGAACCTGCAAATTAAATGAACAGAAGACAGATTAACAGAGAAAAGGCACCCAATTTTTATTTATTTATTTATTTTCTTTTTTGAGACAGAGTCTCACTCTGTCACCCAGGCTGGAGTGCAGTGGCACCATCTTGGCTCACTGCAACCTCCATCTCCGGTGTTCGAGTGATTCTCCTACCTCAGCCTCCCAAGTAGCTGGGACTATAGGCATGCACTACCACACTCTGCTAATTTTTGTATTTTTAGTAGAGTCAGGGTTCCCCTATGTTGTCCAGGCTAGTCTCAAACTCCTGACCTCAAGCCACCTCAGCCTCCCAAAGTACTGAGATTTCAGGCGTGAGCCACTATGCCTGGCCCCCAATTTTTATTAATATTTTTGTGTGCAACAGTTTACAGAAAAGAAGTGAAACTAAAAGTAGTGGTTAGACTTGGGGACTTACATACTGTTTTAACAAAGAAAAGGGAGTTTGAGCTTCAAGGGATAATACCTTTGTAGGAAAGTGACTAGGAAATACATAGGGAAACCAATGGAAGATAAGGGATATTTTAGTAAATTTGTTTCTGCAGACTCATCTCAGTGCTGAGTGAAAAGTTACTTTTCTCTCCCTGGTACAATAGAGTGGCGATACCTCCTCAAAGGGAAACTTAGGCCCTGCTTTTAGGCAGATAAGAGAAGGGCAGAAACCTCTCCCTACATCTGTTAACTCTCAATTGCCTTCAACTCGAAACAATTCTTATGCCAAAGTAGCATATTTTGGTGTGGCATATACTAATCCCCTTCAAGGGATTGTAACATTTGTATGCTCCTCAGGTGATGTCCTATGTATCATTGCAACTGTGCCAGGGTCTACGGACAGCTAATATTTATCGGTTACCAGCTGTCCATTTATTGGACACCTACCATTTATTGGCCAGGCATGGTGGCTCACAACTGTAATCCCAGCACTTTGGGAGGCCAAGGCAGGTGAATCACGAGGTCAGGAGTTCGAGACCAGCCTGGCCAACATAGTGAAACCCTATCTCTACTAAAAATACACACACACACACACACACACACACGCAAAATAGCTGGGCATGGTGGCAGCGCCTGTAATCTCAGCTACGTGGGAGGCTGCTGCAGGAGAATCACTTGAACCCGGGAGGCAGAGGTTGCAGTGAGCGGAGATTGCACCACTGCACTCCAGCCTGAGCAACAGAGAGAGACTCCATCTTATAAACAAAAGAGGGTAAGGGGACAGAGAGTGGGTACCTGGGTGGAGAGAAGGGGCCTTTTTATTTTATAAGGCGGTCAAGGAAGATATCTCTTATAAGGTGACATATGAGCAGAGACCATATGAAAAGGGAGGGAGAAAGTTGAAATGCTAACCATGAAAGAATGATCCAGACACAAAGGCCATGAGATCAGGGAGAGTAGCTATTGTCATTTTCCAGGAGAGAAGTGTTGCTGACTTAGCTATGGTGGTAGCAGTGGAGAGATGAGAAATGGTTGAATTCTATATAGATTTTGAAGGCAGAAGTTTTGAATTTGCTGGGTTGAAAAGTATAAAAGAGAGGAGTTAAGGATGACTCTAAGATTCTTGGCATGAGCAGCTGAAAGAACACAGTTGCCCTTAACTGGGAGGGAGGAGTGGACATTGTTCGAAGGAACATTTGAAGGTGACCTTGACCACCCCACTTACCTTCATTTGGAATACTTTAATCTCACTTTTTTCTTTATCTCTGTTTTACTGTGTAAGGATTTGTAACATTAAATAGAAGTAGAATAGAAATAGAAGGAAATCCTACCATTTGCAACTTGGAGGACATCATGCTAAGTAAAATAAACCAGACACAGAAAGACAAATACCGCACGATCTCACTTCGATGTGGTATCTAAGAAAGTCAAATTCAATAAAATCAGAGAGTAGAAAGGTAGTTGCCAGGGGCTGGGGGCTTGGGGAAATGGGAAGATGTGGGTCAAAGGGTACAAACTTTCAGTTATAAGGTGAATAAGTTTTTAATGTACAGCCATGTGACTATAGTTGATAATAGTGCATTGTATACTTGAAGTTTGCTAAGAGGGTAGCTCTTAAGTATTCTCACCACACACATACACACAAAAGGAACTATGTGAGGTGATAGATATGTTAATTAGCTCATTGTGACAATCATTTAACAATGTTTATGTATTTCAGCACATCACATTATATGCCTTAAGTATATAAAATTTTTGTCAATTACACCTCAATAAAGCCACAAAAAAGATCTGTAGAATTCGTAGTTTGTATTTGAATTTAGTATTCTAATATGTGTACAATTCTTAATTTCTCTTCTTTGTTTTTGTAGATAGCCAAGTGTTTTCATGGGGAAAGAACAGCCACGGGCAGCTGGGCCTAGGGAAGGAGTTCCCCTCCCAACCCAGCCCTCAGAGGGTGAGGTCCCTGGAGGGGATCCCACTGGCTCAGGTGGCTGCTGGAGGGGCTCACAGCTTTGCCCTGTCTCTCTGTGGGACTTCGTTTGGCTGGGGAAGTAACAGTGCAGGGCAGCTGGCCCTCAGTGGGCGTAATGTCCAAGGTGAGGAGATAGTCTTGTTTGTGCAATAAATCATTCTTTCTTTCCAGGTGGAAGACCAACTTGGCAAAGGGCAGTATCAATGGTTAAAACAGTGGTTCCCAAACTTCTGACACATTAGAATAGCCTAGGGAGCTATATTATTTTCTTGTTGCTACAGTAACAAATCATCTCAAACCTAGCAGCCTAAAACAACACAAATGTATTATCTTACAGTTCTGGAGGTCAGAATTCTGACAGGTCTCACTGGGCTAACGTCAAGGTGTTAGCAGGTTGCCTGCCTCTACAGGCTCTAGAGGAGAATCCATTTTCATGCCTTTTGCAGCTTCTAGAGGCCACCTGCATTAATTGACTCAGAGACCTCTTTCTTCTTCAAAGCTAGCAATGGCTGATCAAGTTTTTCTCAAGTCTTGTTACTTTCACATAGACTCTTCTGCCTCTCTTTTCCTCAGTTAAAAGACCCTTGTGATTACAGTGTGCTCACCTGGATAATCCAGCAGAATCTCGCTTGTGTTAAGGTCAACTGATTAGCAACTTTAGTTCCATCTGTTTCCATAACTTCCCTTTGCCATGTAACTTAACATATTTACAGGCTCCAGGATGAGGAAGTGGGAGACCATGATTCTTTGGGAGGCCATTATTCTGCCTGCTGTGGGATCCTTTAAAAATCTCAATGCCCAAGTCAGACCCCATACCTATTAAAGTATCAGTTATCATTAGCGACCTCACAGGTGATTCCAATGTGAAGCAAAGTTTAGAAATTGCTCACTTGGGAGACTGCTAACATTAGGTGAAACAACCAGTTCCTCTAGACAAAAGAAAACTTCTCTAAACAACCAGTTCCTCTGAACACAAAACTCATCAAGATGTGCTCCCCACAAACTCTATCCTCTTCTATTCAATTCCTTACATCAGCTAACATATAGTTAGCACCTAACCTGTGTCAGTCCCATGCTGAGCACTTATACCTTGTTTCACGTCACCATTTCAGCATTAGCTAAGTTTTTCTTTCCTTTCCTTTTTACTTTCCTTTTCTTTCCCTCCTCTACTCTCTCTTCCTCACCCTTCTCCTCCCTTTCCCTTTCCTCCCCTCCCCTGCCTTCCCCTCCCCTCCTCTTCTCCTCCCCTCTCCTCCTCTTCCCCTCCTCTCTTCTCCCCTTCCCTCCTCCCCTTTCCTCCCCTCCCCTAGCCTCTTTTTCTTTCCCTCCTCTCCTCTTCTCTTCTCTTTTTTATTTTCTGTCCTTTCTTTCAGACAGGATTTTGCTCAGTTGCCCAGGCTGGAGTGCAGTGGCATGATCTCAGCTCACTGCAATCTCAGCCCCCAGGGTAGTTCAGACCACAGGTACATGCCACCACACCCAGCTATTTTTTTGTATTTTTTGTAGAGATGGGGTTTCACCACGTTGCTCAGGCTGGTTTTGAACTCCTGCACTCAAGCAATCCACATGCCTCAACCTCCCAAAGTGCTGGGATTACAAGCATGAGACAACCATGCCTAGCCAGCTTTTCTTATCATCTCAATTTTTATAATATATTTGCAGAGCACCTATCATGTGACAGAAGTATGTCAAAATGGTCAGAATCAATATGGAGTCACTTATTTCAAACCCTAATAAAATGGAGTTGGAGGGCAGGGGTCATGAAGGGAGGATCCTCACACAGATCCAACTGATAATAAGAACTATCCCAGAGGACTCTACCAAAACCACAACCTTGCAGCTAAGACCATTTCTATGGGTCATCTTTCCAGTAACAGTGTTTCCTAACTGCAGCCTTGCAAGTAACCTTACTAAAATGGCAACCTTGCAGTCAGGGTGGATTCTGTGAAGAATCTTCTAGCAATGGCCAGTACACATGTCACTGCCCGCAATCAGTCCTTGTAACCAATGAACTTCTGTTTCAAAATAACCTACGTGTACTTTAAAATTTCCCCATTGCCTCAGCCTCCCCAGCTATGCCCATGGCCTGCTATGGCATGCATATCCTGGATTGTAATCCCATTGTCATTCATTCCAAATAAGCTTTTTAGAGAGCCCCTCTGTTGTTATTTTAGGTTGACAAATTAATACAACACAATGGCAGTAGTATCAGGCGTGCGGGTCTTGAAGCTTAGCTTTCTAGGTTAATAGCCTTGGGCATTCCAGAAGATTAGATAGCTTCCAGAAATAAATGTTAAAGGAGCATTTCTTTTTTTCTTCCCCAAGGTAGGGTGTTTCCTCTGTTTTATACTTAGAATTGTTTACTTTTAAAATTATGTTATGAATTTTAAGAATAATAAAAGATATAACATAAAAATATAAAATGGTATTAAATATATAGTCATGAAATCTACAAACTGTTAGTGAATTATAAGAATAATAAAAGATATATTTTATGTAAAAATATGAAATATAAAAAGGTATTAAAATGTAAATGCTCATGAAATCTGAGTCTGTTTCTTATACTCTAGAAATTCTGATTTGTTTCAACAGTGCAAAGCAACAAGCCTCTCTCAATTGGTGCACTGAAGAATCTAGGTGTGATTTATATCAGCTGTGGTGATGAGCACACTGCCGTGCTTAGCCAGGTAATCCAAAATGTGTTGCTATGTTTTTAAGTTCCAGAGAAATGTTAACAAGGTACATGTACTAATTATTGTTGAAAGCCAGAGACCTTAGCCCATTTGGGCCACTATAACAACATACCACAAAAAGAGTGGCTTGTAAACAACAGAAATCTATTTCTCATAGTTCCAGAGGCTAGGAAGTCCAAAATCAAAGTGCCAGCAAATTTGATGTCTGATGAGGGCCAAACTTCTCATTCATAAATACCATATTTTCACTGTCCTCACATAGTGAAAGGGGTGAGGAGTCCCACCTGGGCCTCTTTAGTGAGGGCACTAATCCCATTCATGAGAGTTCTGCCTTCATGACCTAATCATCCATCAAAGGCCCCTCCTCCTAATATCATGGCATTGAGGGTTAGAATTTCAACATAAGAATTCTAGGGTGACACAAACATTCAGATTGTAGCGTAAGATATGTATACCAAAATCTAGACATAGCCATTCAGTGTACACATATCTAAAGAGGAGATGTGAACCAAATATAAATCATAAAGGTTTTCAAGATTCTATAACATAAGCTAATTTCAGCTTTAGGAGGTATCTTTAGATACCTACTAAATTAGGTTAATAGCCAGGTGGGGTGACTCATGCCTGTAATCCCAGCACTTTGGGAGGCCAAGGTGGGTGGATCGCGAGGTCAGGAATTCCAGACCAGCCTGGCCAACGTAGTAAAACCTTGTCTCTACTAAAAATACAAAAATTAGCTGGGCATGATGGTGGGCACCTGTAGCCCCAGACACTTGGGAGGCTCAAGAAGGATAATTGCTTGAACCTGAGAGTCAGAGGTTGCAGTGAGCCGAGATCACACCACTGTACTCCAGCCTGGGTGACAGAGCCAGACTCTGTCTCAAAATTAAAAAAAAAAAAAAAAAAAAATACGTGAATACAGAAACTAATTCCTTTTAGCAATTTTTTTTTTTTTTTTTTTTTTTTTTTCTGTGAGACCAAGTCTTGCTCTGTTGCCCAGGCTAGAGTGCAGTGGCTCGATCTCAGCTCACTGCAACCTCCACCTCCCAGGTTCAAGCAATTCTCCTGCCTCAGCCTCCCAAGTGGCTGGGATTACAGATGCGCACCACCACACCTAGCTAATCTTTGTATTTTTAATAGAAACAGAGTTTCACCATGATGGCCAGGCTGGTCTCAAACTCCTGACATCAGATGATCCACCCACCTCAGCCTCTCAAAGTGTTGGGATTACAGGTGTGAGCCACCCTGCACCTGGCTCCTTTAACAACTATTCATTGACAAGGTGATTCTACAGATAAAAATTATTATAGAAGCAACAAAGTAATTTTTACAGTTTTCAATAACCCACTCTACAGCTTAGAACATACTTCATTTCATTTCTTGCTGGACATAATTACGACCCAGCTTCCTGAATGTTTTCCTCCCATACAATCTATTCCAAAGGGATGGATTCTTTCTGGAGCCATAAAGAATAGACTTGAAAACTACTTGTGTATTTGTAATGTTTGTTTAAAAACTATATGCCCCCAATTATTTTTATTGTCAGTTTTAAGCACATGTCTTAAATTAGAAAACCCTTCATTGTTTGGATTATGTTATTCTTAGTTGCAAAGAGAAAGCTAGAGTTGTTTGTAATCATAGAATCATCTTTTGGGAAGACAGTATTTTCAGGAAAATGCTCTAATAAATTCAATCTCATTCTTAAACTTTGGGTTTATTCTTGAACCAGTTAATTTTTCCTATTCATTTAATAAAGACTTATTAAGTACTTAATTATTTCTTTTTCCAACTTTATTATGGTAGAATTGGCAAAAATTATATATGTTTATGCTGTACAACATGGTGTTTTGATACATGTGTACATTGTGAAATGATTACCACAATCAAGCTAGTTAACGTATGCATCAGTTCACATAGTTATCTTTTTTTGTGGTTAGAATCTTTAAGATCTACTCTCTTAGTAATTTTTTTTCTTTTTTTAAATTAAAAAAATTTTTTTTACATTTTTTAAATTAAATTTTTTTTTTTTTTTAAACGTGGTGTTTCGCCATGTTGGTCAGGCTGGTCTTGAACTCCTGACCTCAGGTGATCCACCCATCTTGGCCTCCAAAGTGCTTGGATTACAGGCATGAGCCACCATGCCCAGCCTTCCTCTTAGTAATTTTCATATATGAAACACATTATTAACTATAGTCACCATGCTGTACAACACATCACCAAGGTGTCTAGTTTTTAAGGAAATGCTAATGATTAAAAAAAAATTGTGTAGAGATGGTGTCCTGCTATTTGGGCCAGGCTAGTCTCAAACTCCTGGCGCCTCAAGCACTCTTCCTGCCATAGCCTCCCAGAGTGCTGGGATTACAGATGTGAGCTACTGTGCCTGACCCCAGTGATTTTTCATGTTTAATGTGTTAACTTGACATAACACTACTAGAAAGAATAAAGGATCTGTCCTATTTATGTAGACCTTGTGTTTCACAGAGTGCTCCCATATTAATTCTCGTATGATACTTAATCAGTAAGCTTTTAGTTACCTTTTTAAACCTGAAATTAATTTGGTTCTTTCTTTCCTAAACAGGATGGGAAAGTGTTCACATTTGGAGACAATAGCTCTGGGCAGCTGGGATACAGCCCCACTCCTGAGAAGAGAGGTCCACAACTCGTGGAAAGAATTGATGGCCTAGTTTCACAGATAGATTGTGGAGGGTAATAGGCTTCTTTTTTTTTTTTTCTCTGCATGTGTAGAAAGTGTTATATATTATTACTTAGAAATGACCCATATGGAATGTTATCAAACCTTAAAACCCAAAATATGTGGCTGCTTTTTTTTTTTTTTTTTTTTTGAGACAGAGTTTCGCTCTTGTTACCCAGGCTGGAGTGCAATGGCGCGATCTCGGCTCACTGCAACCTCCGCCTCCTGGGCTCAGGCAATTCTCCTGCCTCAGCCTCCTGAGTAGCTGGGATTACAGGCTCGTGCCACCATGCCCAGCTAATTTTTTGTATCTTTAGTAGAGACGGGGTTTCACCATGTTGACCAGGATGGTCTCGATCTCTCGACCTCGTGATCCACCCGCCTCAGCCTCCCAAAGTGCTGGGATTACAGGCTTGAGCCACCGCGCCCGGCTAGTGGCTGCTTTTTTTATAGAGCATTTTCCTGCCTGAAAATTTACTTGTTTCAAATATAGTTTAGTTTTTCTGTTTTTGTCTTTATTCTAGATATTTTGTTTATTTAATAAGAAATAATTGGTTCTACTAATTTATTTCTTATTAAGTAAGAAATAAATAGTTATACTGTGTATAGAACACCTTACCAGATGCTGGAGGATGGGAAGTAGGTTGATAAATAGCAGAGTTTTCCTGCTTAAGTTGATGAGACAAAATTAAATTAATGTAATCTCATGTGTGCAGAAGATTATGTATATTTGCATATATATTCAGAGTTCTGCATAACCTAATTATAAGGACACTTTGAGTGCTTAAATATCTACCCAATGCATAAATATATATATATATATATATATATATATATATATACATAGAAATGCCTGCAATTAAAACACAAATGATAAAAACCATAGTAAAGACCCATCAATAACATTCTATTTTTAAAATTAGTAGTAAGTTAATATTGACTCACCATCTGTTTAGGTACATCCTTTGATGGCCTCTAACACTGACATTGTGATAAGAGAACTGGGTACTTAGTAAAAGTAAACTGGTTTCCTGTGTTTGTTATTTTGTGTTAAGGGACATCATCTTTCTCAAAAGCCATGAGTGCCTCAGTCTTCATTATGCTATATTCTCTCTTCTCTAGTGATCACACCATTGCATACGTGCACACCACTGGTCAGGTGGTATCTTTTGGTCGTGGACCAAGTGCCACAAGCAAGCCAACTCATCCAGAGGCCCTGAAAGAGAACTTTGACATTAGATGCTTGATTTCTGCTGATGGTATGAGTGCTACTAATTCATGATTTTTGTTCATCAGTGCCACTGGAGGAAAACTAGTATTCAGCTTCCTTTCAAAGGATCCCACAGAACTGTAGTTCCCCTAGCACTTTTATTTTATATATGTACATTGCGCATTTTTTCTTATGCAGCAAATCTGAGGGTATTTGGTAATCATTTATAAAGATTAAGGTAAGTTCAAGACCAGCCTGGCCAACATAGTGAAACCCATCTCTACTAAAAATACAAATATTACCCTGGTGTGGTGGTGCAAGCCTGTAATCCCAGCTACTCAGGAAACTGAAGTGGGACAACCACTTGAACCCACTGAGTTGAGTTCAAGGTTGCACTGAGCTGATATCATCCAGCCTGGGCAACAGATCAAGACTCCATCTCAATTAATTAATTAATTAATTAAAGAAGATTAAGGTAATACAGAAGAAGATCCTAACTTGATTACTTATGCATCAGAAAAATATACATTTTTTTTCCCACAAAGTGAAAGCAAGTTTATTAAGAAAGTAAAGAAGCAACCAGATCAATATACTTTTATATATTTAATCAAATCTCTTGTAAAGCATGGCCACCTGGCTGTATTATGCAAGTGCATGAAAACCTAAATTTTAGACTAAGTGAATATATGACATGTAATCTGATCAAAACTGATCTTTCATTTCAATACGATGGGGGAAAAAAAGAAAAAATCATTCTTTTATGTGTTTGTAGTCAAAATCCATTTAGGAGAACATAAATTGCTGGTAAGTGAGTATATTTGGCTTGATGTATTTATCAAATTTATTTTTTATTTCTGAAAACTCTAAGCATGGATTTCTGACTTTCTTTTAGACCTCGTGGATGTTCAAGTCAAACACATTTTTGCTGGAAAATATGCCAACTTTGTGACAACTCATCAGGTATCTATTATATTTTTTGTTCCTTTAAACAATTTTTTTTCAAGATTTCACAGCAGTATTTGAAATACTGTATTATTCATATATATTCAGGTGTTTTACTAAAAAATTAAAGTCCTATATTCAAGTGCTTATTAAAAAATATTACATAATTCTCACTTCCTTATTTGTCAACGTTCCTAACAGATTAGACCCCACCACCACCATTTCAGATTTCTTTTTTCTTTATTGGCAAGTGTGTATATTGAATTTGCATCATGTAAATGCGCATACAGATGTAACTTGTATCAACAGCAGCTGCTTCCATCTTCATGAGGGAACTGAATTTTCCCTGTCCAGAACTGTCAAGGAAGGGTTTCTGAAATGTCCTGCAGGGAATGCCTCCTTGAGTGGAAGGATGGCCATGTGTGCGAGTTTATAGGGGTGTGTGTGGCAGGGGTGGTGTGCAGCATCTCAGCTGTCCTCTGTTGCAAGGGTTGCATCATTGAGTCCCCAACCCAAGTTTATTGCTTAATAAAATTAATGATGATAAATAACAGTAATAACTAATTTTAACTATAGTCATCATGTGTCAGGCACCAATCAAAGTCCTTCAAATAAAATGTTTAATGTTCGTGTCACCTCTCACTGATATTATTTTTCACATTTTACAGATGAAAAAACTGAGCCTCAAAGAGGTGAATTTATTCAAAGTTGCACTGGTAGTAAGTGGTAGAGCTGGATTCAGATCCAGGCAGTCCAACTCAATAGCTTACACCATTATCTACCAAGCTTGGTGCCTTCCTAAGTGTTAATAGGAGGGATTTTATTATTACATTTCTGGGTGAGTTTGGAAGCATCTTTGTGAATTAAAAAAAAAAAAGCCTTCATAGTTATTTTTCTAACTTGTGCCTTTTCCTGTTATCAGGAATGTTTTAAGCTTGACATTTAGAACTTGACAGTTAAAACATGCTGATAACAGGAAAAAGTACAAATTAGGAACATAATAGTCCCTGGCACAGGTGGTCAGAGGCAAAGGTTTCTGTGCTGCTGGGACAGTTAGGAGACTATACTTTGGTTGCTCTATCATAGCCATTCAATCAGCCACTCAACAAAAATTGAGAGCCTTTTATATTTCAGACTCTGCTCTTGGTGCCTGGGACAAAAGTGAATAAATCATACCGACAAGGTTGCCCTCATTTATAGCATTTGGACTCCGCAGGCAAGGCTGGACCATAAATACGTAAATGCAAAATAAATAAGATTGTATTAGAGGCCGGATATAGATACGGTGGCTCATGCCTGTAATCCCAGCAATTTGGGAGGCCAGGGCAGGTGGATCACTTGAGGTCAGGAGTTCAAGACCAGCCCGGCCAACATGGTGAAACCTCATCTCTAGTAAAAATACAAAAACTAGCCGGGCACGGTGGCACAAGCCTGTAATCCCGGCCACTCGGGATGTTGAGGGAGGAGAATTGCTTGAACCCAGAAGGTGGAGGTTGCAGTGAGCTGAGACTGCACCACTGTATTCCGGCTTGGGGCGTAGAGGAAGACTCCATCTCAAAAAAAAAAAAAAAATGTGTTAGACAGTGACAAGTACTCTGAAGAAAACACATCGATCGTTTGAGATTGTTGTGGTGGGCTTCTTTAGAAATGTCTTTCAGGAAAGGCCTTGTAGAGGCTGTGACCATTGAACAGAGATTTTAGCCATGCTTAGGTCCAGAAAAAGAATGCACAGAGCAGAAGGAATGGCACACAGAAAGGCTGTGAGGCAAACATAAGTTTGGTGTGTGTGACAGAAGTTCAGTGAGGCAGAACTGTAGCAAAAAAGGACAAGGAGCGCTACGAGATGGAGCCAGTTCTGTGAGATGGGGCCAGCTATGTGAACGGACCCACCTGAAATGTGTTTTGGAAAGGAGACTGAGCTGGCATCCATATGTGAGGCTCAGGGAGGATGCTGGCAGTGGAATACAAACACAGCAGTTATCAACCCACAGATGGGATGTAAGCCAGGGACCTGGATGAAAGCTCACCTAGAGAAAGAGTGAAAATGAGGAGAAGGGGGGCAAAATTCCTCTAATGAGGAACTTCTCCATTAGAGGTTAGACAGTGGAAGAGGAACCAGAAAAAAAGATTGAGAAGGACCAGTTTCTGAGGAAGGGAAAATCAGGAGAGGCCGGCCACACAAGCCAAGAGAGAAAGCGCCTGTACAGAGGTCCTCTCGTGTGTGTGTGTGTGTGTGTATGTGTGTGTGTGTGTCTGTGTGTGTGTGTGTGTGTGTGTGGACAGGGTCTCAATCTGTTACCCAGACTGGAGTCTTGGCTCACTGCAGCCTCAGATTCCTAGGCTTAAGCCATCCTCCCACCTCAGCCTCCCAAGTAGCTAGTGTGCACACCACAATGCCCAGCTAACTTTTGTATTTTTTTGTAGAGAAGAGGTTTCGCCATGTTTCTCAGGCTGGTCTTGAACTCCTGAGCTCAAGTGATCCGCCCACCTTGGCCTGGCAAAGTGCGGGGGTTACAGGTGTGCACCACCACGCCTGGCTCTCAGTAGTACTTCTCATCTGCAGTTTTGCTTGTCACAGTTTCAGACCCACATTCAACTGTGGTCCAAAAATATCAAATGGAAAATTCAGAAATAACTCATAAGTTTTCAATCACATCTTCTGGATGGTGTGATAAAATCCACCCTTCATCACAAGAAGTAGAGTGAATACAGTATAAGAAGCTATCTTGAGAAAGAGGGAAGGGTACCACATTTATATAAGTTTTATTACAGTAAATTCTTATAATTATTTCATTGTATTATTAGTTATTGGTATTAATCTATTGCTGTGCTTAATTTATACAATAAACTTGATCATATGTATGGATGAATAGGAAAAACATATGAGGTTTGGTACTATTTAAGGTTTCAGGCATCCACTGTGGGTCTCGGTGGAACACATCCCCCATGGATAAGGGGGACTGCTGTATTTCCAGGAGAAAGTGGCCAATTCTGTCAAATACAGCTGAGTGGTCAAGTAAGAGGCATGCACAGTTTATTTTTGCTTTGGTAAGATTGTGTTATTGCAGAGAGAAGGGGAGGAGACCTGACGCGAGTGGGCTGGACAGAATAGAAGGGGAATAAGGGAAAACAACGCCTGTGACAACCCCGAGAAATTTTGATGTGAAGGGTAGTAGAGAACCATGGGAGGGGTTCCGATGCTACATAAGAGTGCGTCATTGTAGAAGCAATGTCTGAGAGTAGGAGAGAGGAAGCAGAATTTAATGCATAATTGAAGGATTTGAACAGATGTATCTATTATGCCATAATAAGGAACGGTACAGGTGAAGGTAGGTTGATGGTGGGAAGGTGATTTGTTCTTGCTTAACAGCTTCAATTTTCAGTGGTGCTTCAGGCAAGGTTCCCATCTGATCTTGCGCAAGCAGAGGAGTGTGAAAGGTTTAGGAAGAAAAGGAAGTGTTGAGATAGCTGTCTTAGGGAAAAAGCAGTTAGCTTTGGAATTAATCAAATTTGTCTAATCAGACAGTATCAGGTGCCCATTTGAAACCTGTGGTCACAGACTTAAAGTGCAATCAGTCTGCACAGTTGTGCAGCTTTCTCCGGTGATGTTAGGCTGCTTCAGTTGGATTTTGGAGTAATCCAGAGTCAAGTATAATTACAGAGGGAATTTTACTAGGTAAGTACAATAGGAAATGGACAAAAGAGTTATAGGTGTGATTATAGTAATGAACCATGGAATCTAAGCTGGGTAAGAAAGTTGAAGGAGGGTGATGTATCGTGGACAAACAACAGGACTAATGGATTGGAGATCCCGGTGCACAAAAGAATCTTGGACTGCAGGTTTTACTCTAAAGGAGGTGAATCTGAAAGATGGTGTGTGACGGTCAGAGAAGAGAATATTTCCGGTAGAAATTTAGAAGATGGAACAATTCATGGTTATAAAACCCAGCTTCTCACCTATAGGGCAGTGGTTTTCAACTAGGGGTGATTTTGTGCTTCAGGAAACATTTGGCAACATCTCAAGACACTGTAGTTTGTCATAACTAGGGGAGAGCATGGCACTGGAAGTGGTTGCTACTGGCATCTGGTAGGCAGAGGCTGGAATGATGCTGCTAAACATCCTATGATACACAGGACAGCTGCTCACAGCAAAGAGTCATCTGACCCAAAATATCAATAGTGTCAGTTTAGAAACCCTGATCCAGGGCATGTGTGGCTGGGATGGAGCAGAGGAAGAGTAGAGATAATTAAGAATTGAGAGATGAAGGTGGGAGATAGATAATGTTCATCAATTCTGAAGTTACCAAGAGTGAGGGCAGGAAGGATGACCATGGGAATCATGATGTGAGGAAGACAGTCAGCAAGGTGCCGAAGCTTTCGATGAATGAAAGGGAGTGACCAGGACATTAGGGGAAGATTACAAAAGAGGAGGAGGCAGATGACATAGTTTCATGCCATGTATTTGGAAGGAGCCAGGGATTTTGAAGCAGCAAATAAAGAAATGGTATGTAAGTGCCAAGAGGGAACACCTCATTGTCCCAAGTTTCCTGGGATGTGGGAAGAAAAAAAGTCTTCCTCTTGATCGAACTACAGGGAAAGCCCAGGACTCAGATCAAGAAGCTGAAGGGAACTTTAAGAGCCATGGTTACCTGTCTTTTTCAAGAGGTCTTTTATTTCAGCATTAAACCAAACCGATGCATAATTTCCTGGCTCATAACAAGTGCAGTGGAGGCATAGGTATAACTTTTAACAGAGCACTAATGCCTCTGGAAGACTATATTGAAGATGGATTTTTCTTTCCAGATGGTGATTTTTGAAACCTCTGGCTGGGCTATTTGGTCTCAAGTATTATATAGAAGGATAGTTCTCAAAGTGTGGTCCGCAAACCAGCAGCATCAGCATCACTGGAGAATTTGTTAGATGCAAATTCTTGTGCTCAACCCTGACCCATGGAATCAGAAACTATGGGGTGGAGCCTAGCAATTCGCTTTAACAAGCCCGCCAGAATCTCCCACCAGGTGATTCGTATGCACATTACAATTTGAGAGTTACTGATATAAAAGTAAACTCTTGTGGGTGATTAAAGGGAACAATGAAACTAATTATTGAGTGCCTACTATAATCTCAAAGCTTTGTATGCACACTATAATTTCATCTTAACAGGAACCCAGAGAGGTAGGTATTATTATCTCTTTTTATTTATTGTGATAATATATATATAAATACAATTTGCCATTTTAATCATTTTAAGTATATGATTCAGTCACATTAATTACTTTCACAGTATTATACAACTTTCACCACTTTCCGTGTCCAAGACTTTTTCATCACCCCAAGCAGAAATTCTCTAACTATGAAATAATAACTCCCCATACCCCCTCCCCGCCCCCAGCTTCAGGCAATCTTGCATCTACCTTCTGTCTCTATGAATTTGCCTATTCTAGATACTTCACACAAGTGGAATCATACAATATTTTTTATTTTGCATCTGGCTTATTTTACTCACTTGTCTTCAAAATTCATCCACGTTGTGTTTTTTTGTTTGTTCGTTTGCTTGTTTTGTTTTGAGACAGAGTTTTGCTCTTGTTGCCCAGGCTGGAATGCAATGGTATGCTCTGTCTCACTGCAGCCTCCGCCTCCCAGGCTCAAGTGGCCTGCCTCAGCCTCCCGAGTAGCTGAGATTACAGGCACCTGCCACCACACCTGGCTAATTTTTTTTTTGTATTTTTAGTAGAGACGAGGTTTCATCACGTTGACCAGACTGGTCTCAAACTTTTTGACCTCAGGTGATCCGCCTGCCTTGGCCTCCCAAAGTGCTGGGATTGCAGGAATGAGCCTCTGTGCCTGGCCAGAATTTCATTTCTTTTTTAGGCTGAAAAATATTTCATTGCATGTATATTTTAAAAATCTATTCATCTGTTGATGAACATGGGTCGTTTCCATCTTTTGGCTATTGTGAATAATGCTGCAATGAATATTGATTTACAAGTATCTGTTTGAAGCCCTGTGTTCAATATATTTTTTTTTAATGTTGAAACTAAGGCTCAGACCAAGCAAAGTGGCCCAGGCTAGGAGGTGAAATAGCCCTACCCATCTGACGCCAAAGCTCCTCCCACCAAATGCTACCAACCAAGAGGACAGTGCCTATTTACCACCCATGCCAGATGATTTACTGTATAATTTACTACTGAACGTGTGTGTATTCCTGATCATTCTTTTTTCCTTTCCTGAAGGATACTAGTTCCACAAGTGCTCCCAGGAAAACCCTGCCAGAAATAAGCCGAATTACCCAGTCCATGGCAGAAAAATGGATAGCAGTGAAAACAAGAAGTACTGAACATGAAGTGGCTAAAAGGTGGCTCCATCTGATAAATTATAAGCTGCTTTTATCTGGTTCTGAGACCTTGGTCATTTTATCCTAAGAAAGAGGGTTTGGTTTTATTGTGAAGGTATTTGTATTTTGACCATGATTCTCTTCTACAGCCTCTTAATGTCACTAGGTCATCAATGTACGCATTTACAGACACATGGAGGACATGTGATATCCCAGGTGCTGTAGGTGAGGGAGTTGCCGGAGTGAAAAAGCTTACAAAGCCTTCAATAAGGTGGACTGTTTTCATATATTCATAGTTCACCCTTTGGAGTTTTATGAGTTTTAGTCCTCACGGGGATAGGTTTTATTTAAACCTACGTGAATTGAACAAATCAACTATAAGGGGTTTTGGTGAGATTTAGAAATAATATAAACAAAGTATACCCAGGATTTGGGAGACTCTTAAGAGAGGAGTTATTTTCATTAATAATGATTCCACATCATCAGTTACTTATTCAGACTTTATAAGACTTTTTTATTTTTTGTGACAGGGCCTTTGTCACCCAGGCTAAGTGCAGTGGCACAGTCATGATTCATTGCAGCCTTGAACTTCTGGGCTTAAGTGATCCTCCCACCTCAGCCTCCCAAGCAATGGCAAGTACAGGCATACACCACCAGGCCTGGCTAATTTTTTTTCTTTCTGAGACAGGGTCTCACTCTGTCAACCAGACTGGAGTGCAGTGGCCCAATCTCTGACACTTCCAGTGTTACAATTTCTCATTTCTTTGCTAGCCCATTCTCTTTTTTTTTTTTTTTTTTTTTTTTTTTTAGACAGAGTTTCACTCTTCTTGCCCAGGCTGGAGTACAGTGGCGCAGTCTTGGCTCATTGCAACCTCTGCTTCCTGAGTGCAAGTGATCCTCCCGCTTCAACCTCCTGAGTAGCTGGGTTTCTAGGCACATGCCACTACAGCCCAGCTAATTTTTGCATTTATAGTAGAGACAGGGCTTCACCATGTTGGTCGAGCTAGATGATTTTTGTATTTCTTGTAGAGACAGGGTTTTCCATGTTACCCAGGCTGCAGACATACTAAGATTTAAAAGGCATGCTTTATAGTATGTTGTGACTTACCCCTTGTTATTACTTTTACAGTGAAGTTAGAATGATATTTTCATCTCCTGCTTGTCTGACTGCGAGTTTTTTAAAGAAAAGGTAATACTTACATAAGATTTACCTTCATTTAAAACACTGGAAAATATGTAAAATGATATGTTTCAAGTCAGTTTAATTTGTCAATTTTGTTATCCTTGCCTACAGAGTCCGACACAGAGAACTTTGTAGGTTGTTATAGAATTCTTTCATTTTATGAAGTAATTTTCTGTTAGACCACTATAAGTTATAATTTCTAATCAACATTGTTTACTTCCTTTATACTTCTTTGCTCTGTTGTCCAATTACAAAGAATGGTGTTTTTCAGGATCTCTGTATATACAAATGATCAACTAAATCTCACATTGCTTTAGTACTTAGAAGCCAAGGGTACACTTTACAATTTTTACTGTGTACAATCAATTAAAAATATATCTTATTTATGTTGTCTTTAACTCACTGCTACAGAAGAAAATCTGATTTTGCTCCATTTGGTTTAACATTTGGTCTGATCCAATAGTTTAAACAATTCCTTTAATGCTCAGTGTTTAGCTCTTCTATTTCTGCTCCTTCCTCCAAGTTCTCCAATATGGCACCTGGGTGTAAAAGAGACAAGAAGGAGAAATAGCAGTGTAAAGGGGTCTTAGGCTGCCCTCTGCCTCTTTGGAGGTTGATGCCTTGCTGATCTGTCTGCAGCTGGTGTAATTCATGTGGGTTCTCCTTTGCTTGGTGAGGTCCTGTCCCTCTCTTGTTAACTTGGCCTTAAATTTGCTCACTGGTTCAAAATATGGTGATACACATCTATACCCACTCCTGGCCACTAGGTGGTATTCACTTAACCCCTGTTGCTATTACTTGCCCTTGTCCAACCGCCCTGGCAGTCTCATTAGTTCTTTTCTTTTCTTTTTTTTTTTTTTTTTTTTTGAGACCGAGTTTCACTCTTGTTACCCAGGCTGGAGTGCAATGGCGCGATCTCGGCTCACCGCAACCTCCGCCTCCCGGGTTCAGGCAATTCTCCTGCCTCAACCTCCTGAGTAGCTGGGATTACAGGGACACGCCACCACGTCCAGCTAATTTTTTGTATTTTTAGTAGAGACCCAGCTGCATTCTCAGGGAGCTTATGGGACTAGAGGAACTTGGATTCCAACAACTTCACCTCAGGCTAATTCTTGCTACATATGGAAAAATCTTTTCTATGTGAAGAGTATTATCTTCCTAATGTGAAAAAGTATCCATGCTTACTTCCCAGGACTGAGGAACTCCTAAGATATCAAAGGCTGCAAAAGAGAATATATTTTAAGGGAGATATTTATAATACTTTGTTTTAGTATTTACATAAATATTTTAGCCCTAATATTACTATTGATCAGTTAATCTAGCAAAGAGAAAACCTACCTTCCTTCCTTCCTTCCTTCTTTCCTTCCTTCCTTCCTTCCTTTTTTGAGATGCAGTCTTACTCTGTGGCCAGGCTGGAGTGCAGTGGTGTGGTCTTGGCTCACTGCAACCTCTGCTCCCCGGTTCCAGTGATTCCACCTGCCTCAGCCTCCCAAGTAGCTGGGACTGCAGGCAGGAGTCACCACGCCCAGCTAATTTTGGTATTTTTAGTAGAGACAGGGTTTCACCATGTTGTCCAGGATGGTCTCGATCTCCTGACCTTGTGATCTGCCCACCTTGGCCTTCTACAGTGCTGGGATTACAGGTGTGAGCCACTGCACTTGACTCATTTCCTTTATTTATTTATTTGATGAAGTCTCACTCTGTTGCCCAGGCTGGGATGCCGTGGTGTGATCTCGGCTCACTGCAACCTCTGCCTCCCAGGTTCAAGCGATTCTCCTGCCTCAGCTGGGATTACAGGTTTAGGCCACAATATCCAGCAAATTTTTTATATTTTTTGGTAGAGATGGGGTTTCACCATGTTGACCAGGCTGATCTTGAACTCCTACTCTCAGGTGATCCATCTGCTTCAGCCTCCCAAAGTGCTGGGATTACTGATGTGAGCCACCATACCCAGCCTTTTTTTTAATTTTATTTTTATTATTTTCATTTATATTTTTGAGACAGAGTCTCTCTCTGTCGCCCAGGCTTGAGTTGAGTGACATACGTGATCTTGGCTCACTGCAGCCTCCACCTCCTGGGTTCATATGATTCTCCTGCCTCAACCTGTTGAGTAGTTGGGATTATAGGCATGTACCACCACACCCAGCTATATATTTTTTTTTTTTTTTTGTATTTTTAGTAGAGACAGGGTTTTACCACATTGGCCAGGCTGGTCTTGAACTGCTGACCACAAGTGATCCACCCACCTCAGCTTCCCAAAGTGTTAGGATTACAGGCGTGAGCCACTATTCCTGGCCTTTTTTTTTTTTTTTTTTTTTTTAAATTTTTAGAGATGAGGTCTTACACTGTTGCCCTTGCTGTAATGCAGTAGTTTGATCATAGCTCACTGTAGACTTGAACTCCTGGGCTTGAGCTATCCTCCCATCTCAGCCTCACCTGTAGCTGGGGCTACAGGTATGCACCACCATGCCTGGCTAATTTTTTATTTTTTATTTTTTTGTAGAGACAAGGTCTCTTCTGTGTTGCCCAGGCTGGTCTCTTGAACTCCTGGCCTCAAGCAATCCTCCCTCGTTGGCCTCCCAAAGTGTTGGAATTACAGGCATGACCCACTGCAGATGGCATACAATATTTGATAATGTATTATTTTAAAATTGTTAGACTTATTGAATGCTGGCCTCTCAAATATCACTAAAACAACTTGTTGATAAGACAGACCAGAGAAAACAGCACACCTAGACAAGGCTTTGGTAGTGTTTCCGAGAAGAAAACCCAGTCAGAATTTATTGTCAATTGGGAGTTTGGTTTAAGGAGTTCTTTCAATGTGAGAGGGAAGGCTGGAAGTTTGATCTGGACTGGGTAAATGACAACAATCCAGGATGGGTGGAAATAGCAAGGCAAGGATTTTGAGATAAGGGATTCAAAGATCTCTGGGCATAAACTGTTGATACTTTCCATTGAAGAGTTAGTGGGTCTTTCATGAAGTTCCCATGATGAACAATTGCCATTTGCCTGGACAAAAGTTTCCTGAGAGAGTAAAGTAAAAACAAACAAAAAAACAGTGGCATTGCAAAGTTCTGTAAATATAGATGGTAAGGAGGGTGGAGCGTAGGTAGTTCTAGTTCTTAGTGTGCAAACTGAGTATGGGACAGATGGTTTCTGTTCTCAGACTTAGCACGGAAAATTTTGTTAATATGGCAGCCCAAACTTGATGTAGCCACTATAGAGATAATAAATTGTTATCTACTGTCTTTTAACAAGGATAACATAAACTATATATTTTTTATGTCATGTAAATTGATTATTTTGAAAGAAGGCAAGCTGTAAGAAAAAGGTTTGTATCTTTTATTTAACAAGATAAAACAACAAATGACATATGAACTTTAGAAATATCCCTTTCCCTCTGTTTATGTGGTTTCTTGCATTTCTTGTATCCAAAGAGGAACTGGAGAAACAACTTGCATTGATGTGGACTTAGAAATGGCAAGAGATACCTTCAAGAAGTTAACAAAAAAGGAATGGATTTCTTCCATGGTAATAGCCAATACTTACTTGAGATATGGAACAAATACGATTGCAGTTTAATTTTGTTGGAAGCTGTTTGAGAGGGGACTATGATTGTCATTGCCCTATGGGTTCTTCCTGCCCACTGCAGAAACAAAAATCGACCCACTGAGACCATGACATCGTAGTAAGGAAAGAGTTTAATTGACATGAGGCTGGCCATGCCACGTAGGAGATAGAATTATTACTCAAATCAGTCTCCCTGAAGGCTCACGCTTGTAGCTTAGGGGCTTTTCAAAGATAGTTTGGTTGGCAGGGGACTAGGGTAGGGCGCATGCTGACCAGCTGAGTCAGAGATTAAATTATAGGGAATAGAAGCTGTCCTCTTATGCTGAGTCAGTTTCTGAGTGGGGGCCACAGAACTGGTTGGTGGGTCCAGGTGGGGTCATCCAGTTGTCAGAAATGCAAAAACCTGAAGTGACATCTCAAAAGGCCAATCTTAGGTTCTACAATAATGATGTTATTTGCAAGAATAATTGAGGAAGTTGCAAATCTTACAACCTCCAGAATAATGGCTGGTAATTATTTAGAATTCAAGCCCCTCTCATCCTAACTTGGTTGGCTTTCATTAGTTTTACAAGAACAATTCCGTTTTGGGGACCAGCTGTTATCATTTAAACTATAAACTAAATTTCTCCCAAAGTTAGCTTGGCTTATGCCCAAGAATGAGAAAAGACAGCCAACCTGTGATGCTGGCAGTAAGATAGAGTCAACCGTGTCAGATTTCTCTTACTGTCATACTTTTGCAAAGGTAGTTTTATGATTGGAGCTGACATTTATTTTCTTAATGAGCCTTTAAATGTACAATAGATACAACATTTTTATTTTCAATATAAGAACAATGCTTGAGAGGTGGATAATCTCTACCATGATGTAGGAAAAGAGCATTGGTTTGAGAAGCAGGACCTTATCCTGGACTGATAAACTGAAAAGACCCTTCTCTATTCTGAGATGAAACTCACATCTATTTGAGTTGAATCTCTGTTACTGCCTCATCCCTTCTCTTTGGGTCACATTTTCTACCTGTGGCGTTCATCTTTAAAATCTATTCCCGATTAATATTCTGTGATTCTGGGTTGTATTAAGAAGAAAACTTCCTTTTTGTTTACTGCCTCCGGTTTGAGTTGGTGGAGGGGGTCACTGCATATTAATAATTAACAGAATGCCTCAGTGCTCAGGATGCTGTAGACTGGGTAGCTTAAACAACAGACATCTACTTCTCACAGTTCTGGAGGCTGGGAAGTCCAAGATCAAGGTACTATCAGGTTTGGTGTCTGGTGCGGGCCCACTTTTTGGCTCATAGATGACCATATTTTCAGTGTCATCACATGGCAGTGTGAACCCCAAATATCTAAGACAGGTCAGATAATTTAGAAAGTTTATTTTGCCAAGGTTGAGGACACATGCCCATGACATGTGGAGATCCTGATGTCATGTGTCCAAGGCGGTCGGAGCAGTTTGGTTTTATAGATTTTCGGGAGACATGAGACATCAATCCACATATATAAGATGAACATTGGTTTGGCCTGGAAAGGGGGGACAACTCAAAGCAGGGAAGGGGGCTTCCCAGTCTTTGGTAGATGATAAGAGAAAAGTGGTTTTATTCTTTTGAGTTTCTGATTAGCCTTTCCAAAAGAGGCATGAGATATGCATTTATTTCAGTGAACAGAGGGGTAACTTTGAATAGAATAGGAGGCAGGTTTGCACTAAGCAGGTCCCAGCTTGTCTTTTCCCTTTAGTGTAGTGATTTTGAGGACCCAAGAATTATTTTCCTTTCACAGCAGAAAGGGCAAAGACACTTCTGGGCTCTTTTTTGTCAGGACATTAATCCCATTCATGAGAGCTCCAATTTTTTAAGATGGAGTTTTGCTCCTTTTACCCAGACTGGAGTGCAATGGCGATCTTGGCTCACCACAACCGCCGCCTCCCAGGTTCAAGAAATTCTCCTGCCTCAGCCTCCCAGGTAGCAGGGATTACAGGCATGTGCCACCAAGCCTGGCTAATTTTTTGTATTCTTAGTAGAGATGGGGTTTCTCTGTGTTGGCTAGACTCAAACTCCCCATCTCAGGTGATCCACCCACCCTGGCCTCCAAAAGTGCTGGGATTACAGGTGTGAGCCATTGTGCCTGGCCATGGCCTCACCTCTTAATACTATCATATTGGGGATTAGGTTTTTAACATATGAACTTTGGGGAACATATTTAGCCTATAGCACAGAAGGAAAAAAAATAAGTTTTGCACACTTGCATGTGGAGCGTTCAGATAAAGAAGCTCCCTGAACAGCTAGGGATAAGAGTTTATAAACCAACCTGTTAGAGGAAAGGGAGAAGGGAGAAAGGGCTCCTATGGGAAGAACAAATGGGACTTTATGGAGACAAATGGAAGGTATGACAGTTTATGAGAATGTTTGTTTGTCTATGCGATTTCTCATCCACATGCAAGTGATCTAAATGATTGGTCTCCTTTTTAGCAGTAAAGCTCCACAATGGAGGATGTACAAGAATTTCTTTCTAGATGAGCCCTGCATTAGTTAGATAAAAGAAGCTCCAAAAAGGTGTCTTTCTATATTGACCATACCTCAAATGTCTTCAGTTGGTAAAATAATCTTTATACCATTTTGCTGGGTCTGAGTAGTTCCTTATACTTGAAAGGGAAAGGGGGAAAGTTGTTCCTTAATGTGCTGTAGATATAATAATATTTTCATTTTCAAGATGAAGTGATAATAGCAAATATTATGAAGTGTATTTTTAAAATGAATTTATTTAGGTGATATGGGAGATAATTTGGGGTACTCTTCCCAGTGTGAGTTCCAAGCGACAGTAGCTTCATGAAAAACCCCATTTAAAAGGGTTCTTGATGAAACAACTTTGAGAATACTGCATACTATTATGGAATCATGACATGCACATTAGGAAATCAAAGGTTCTATGGCATTATACACTAAAAGAAATCTCTTTGACCCTATTTTTCTTGGAGTTATTTGACATTGTGATGCTGTTTTTCAGCATAACACCTACTGGCATTCCACAGAAACCATATGCTGCTAGACATGTGACAAAACAAATTATAAGAATTTTAATGTAATAAAAATAATATCTAGTACATCACAGTTTATTGTTGCATATATCACTTATTTACCCTTATGAGAGGCAGACACTGTAATTCCAGAACGTAGGTCTATTAGGTTGAATAAATGCAACTAGCTGCTGTAACAAACAACTTCCAAATCTCAGTGGCTTAACACAATAAACTATTTTCCAACATCCTAGTCCAATGAGGGTTGGAGGTCAGAGGCAACTTTGCACAGGTTCATGCAGGGCTGACTCAGGCTTCTTTCCAGTGTCTCTAGGCCTTGGGGCAGTAAAATCCTCCACTCAGTCTTTTGAGTTGGCTAACAGATGACGGAAGTGAGTATGAAGGGTCCCATGAGAGGTTTTAATGGCCTGGCCTTAATGTGTCACGCATCACTTTCTCTCACATCGGTGAGCTAGGACTCAGTCACATGGCCCTGCCTAACTGCAGAGGAGCTGGGGGCTGCCATCTTCCTGTGAACCCAGGAGGAAAATGAAAAGTGACTGGCAAGGTGAACATATGGCATTTTCTCTGCCATGGTAGGTTTTACTACCATGGTATTGCCATGGTCATCTTCTAGTTGAGTAATCTCTTTCCTCTAACTTCCTTTGAGTCTCTCCTTGCTCATCTATAAAAACAAGGTAAAAACAAACAAAACAAAAGTCATGTTATGGGATTATTGATAAGATTAAATAAAATGATTTACATGAGATCACCTGACACATTGTAAGTATTCAATGGGTGTTCAAACAAATATAAATAATATCATACAGGTTTATTCCCACTAATATGTTTTTATAGATGTCCTATTTTAAAAGTTTACTTCTAGGCTGGGTACAGTGGCTCATGCCTGTAATCCTAGCACTTTGGGAGGCCAAGGTGGGAGTATTGCTTGAGTCCAAGAATTTGAGACTGGCCTGGGCAACATAGTGAGACACCATCTCTACATATAATTTTCTAGAATGAACTGTGTGTGGCAGTGCACTCCACTTGGGAGTCTGAGGTTGGAGGATTGCCCAAACCCAGGAGTTTGAGGCTTCAGTGAGCTATGATTGAGCCACTGCACTCCAGCTATAATTAAGCCACTACACTCTGAGGCAAAACTTTACCTCTAAATGAAATAATATAAAAATTTAGAGCTATCTTTGCTCTGAAAATTTGTCTACTCGTATATGAGAAAACAGAAAAAAAGAAAAGGATATTGTGTGGGGGGAGGAGAGGAGCCGGGGATAGCTCTTCCTTCTAGAAGGAGGAATACTAGTGTGACCTGTATACAACATGGCTTTTGAAGGGCTTTTTTTAGTTTTCAATCCATAATTCACTCCATATATCCATGCTCATGGGATTTCATTTTATTTTCTTCAGGCAGCCTGATATAAAATGAGGAGGATGGCTCTCATGTACCACATCAGGGGCATTTGGGATGGAAGCAGTGATGAAACTCCATCACTATTGAGTTTCATCAATAGGTTTCAGAATGACTAAGTGGTTATTCTAACTGGAATATGGTGAAGTGAAACCCCTAATTTCATAGCTTGCTTTTCACAATACTCTGTATCTAATATATCCTGAGTTTGTTCCCTGATCCTATTTTGAGCACAGATAACTACGTGTCTCGAGGATGATCTGCTTAGAGCTCTTCCGTGCCGTTCTCCACACCAAGAAGCTTTATCAGTTTTCCTCCTGATCCCAGAATGTCCTGTGATGCACGACGCTAAGAACTGGAAGAACCTGGTAGTTCCATTTGCAAAGGCTGTGTGTGAAATGAGTAACCAATCTTTGCAAGTCCTAAGTAAGTTTTATGTAACTTTATCTGTACTCTCAATATAGAGTCATTCTCTGAAGTGTTGTAGCAAATTTGGATAGAAGATTTCAAAATACACATGTATGTGAGAACATGACATGTGAATTATTGAAAAGATTGATAATCTAAAGCTATTGTAATTATTAATCTTATCATATAAATGTAGTTTTTAGACTTAGATGTGGCTTTAACATCAGAGTTTGGTAGCCATAAAGTATTCAATCAAGATAAATCCATACTTTAAACATTTTTGGCTCATGTTATTTTGAAACTTTAGACATTTAGAACAGAGATGATGAAAAAACAAACATTGAACCTTGCATTATTATTTACTTTATTCAGTACTGTGTTATGTCCTTTTATAGTTTTTACTGAATATTGAAAGTTCAATGATTACCCAATAACCCAGTGGGGTATAGATGTTTATATACCCTTCTACATAGACGAGGGGGAGGTAGGGAATGTAGACAATTCTTTTGAAAAGTAGTAAATGATTATTAGGGAGAATGAGTGAACCCAGGAAACAGAAATTAACCTGTAAATGATTCTCCTTGGAACTGGAATGAGCCTAAGAGGCAGTCAAAAGACATTATCTTTTGAAAAAGTATCTTCTCTGTGACAGATAATGAAATTTCAGAGATGGGATGAAAGACAATTCTTTTCTCTGTGGTGGGTCCAGTCTTAAGGTAGATAAGGGAGTGTCAGAGAAAAGCCTCTTCCAGCATCTGCTGACCTTCAGGGGCCTTTAACTTAAAATAATCAGCATACCAGGGTACTATATTTGGGGGTATAGTTCCCTGGGCTCCTTCACTTAAGAGATACAGAGGGTCAGGCATTATGTCTTATACCTTAATCCCAGCATTTTGGGAGGCCAAGGTGAGAGGATCTCTTGAGTCCAGGAGGTTGAGGCCAGCCTGGGCAACATAGTGAGACCCCTTGACTACCAAATTTTTTTAAAAAATCAGCCATACCTGGTGGCACACACCTGTGGTCCCAGTTACTTGGGAGCATGAGGTGGGAGGATCACTTGAGCCCAGGAGTTTAAGGCTGTGTTACTGGAAAGGGGTCCCAATCCAGACCCCAAACAAGAGTTCTTGGATCTCACGCAAGAAATAATTCAGGGAGAGTCTATAGAGTAAAGTGAAAGTAAGTTTATTATGAAAGTAGAGGAATAAAAGAATGGCTACTCCATACCACCGAGGGGCTGCTGGTTGCCCATTTTTATGGTTATTTCTTTATTATATGCTGAAAAGGGTTACATTATTCATGCCTCCCCTTTTTAGACCATATAGGGTAACTTCCTGACATTGCCCTGGCAGTTGCAAACTGTCATGGTACTGATGGGAGTGTAGCAGTGAGGACGACCAGAGGTCATTCTCCTCGCCATCTTGGTTTTGGTGGGTTCTAGCTGGCTTCTTTACTGCAAGCTGTTTTATCAGCAAGGTCTTTATGACCCGTATCTTGTGCCAACCTCCAATCTTATTCTGTCATTTAGAATGCCTAACTGTCTGGGAATGCAGTCCAATAGGTCTCAGCCTTATTTTACCCACCCCTATTCAAGATGCAGTTGCTTTGGTTCAAATGCCTCTGACAGCTGCAGTAAGCTATCAGCATACCACTGCACTCCAGCCTGGGCAACTGAGCAAGATCCTATCCCAAAAAAAGAAAACAAAAAGGTACAGAGGATATGTACAATGAAATGTAAGCCACCCAGTTCCCCTCCCAGAGGTAGCTACAAGTTCTAGTTTCTTGTGTAACCTTTGAAAGATGTTCTAATATATATAAACATACAAATGTATTCTTTCTGTTTTTAATGTTAGCAAATTATTAAAGTTACTTTTCCACAACTTGCTTTCTCTCACTAAACTGATATCATGGAGATCATTCCATTAGAGAATGTATAGAATTGCTTCATTCTATGTAATGGCTGAAGAATATTCTAATGTAAAGCATTTCATTGTACATATATAAATTTACACAAGCAGGAAAAATTCCAGAAAGCAAAATCACTGAGTCAAATTGTATGTACATTTTTAATTTTGAAATATTTTGCCAAATGACCCTCTACAGAATCAGGGTCATCATGTCACCCAACTTGGTTGTCATTCACACTGTAGTCTATATAAATTGCCCTCCTAGAGTTTGGCAACCTGTCAGTACTGAAAAAGGATGTATTAATTTACATTTCATCAGCAATTATGAGAGTATCAATATGCATACTTTCCAACCATGTTATCAAACTTTAATCTTTGCCATTCTGAGAAAAAAAAACCTTTTAAAGTTGAATTTTTCATATTTTTCATATTAAGAGTGAGGTTGTGCTGGTTTTCATATATCACGGATCTCTTTGTATATCATATTCTGTGAACTTTTATTATAGGACCACCAGGTTTGATTTCCTGTTGCACAATAACAGACCAATACACTAAAAGAGTAGGAGTTGCAGCAGAGGAAGAGTTTAATAATTGTAGGGCAACCAAATGAGGAGATGAAAGGAAACCTCAAATATGCCTCTTCAAGAGGTTTGTGGATGGGGTTTTTAAGGGGTCTGAACACAGGTGATGGCCTAAAGTGTGGTGATCACTGATTGGTTGAGAAGTGAGGGGTAAAGTCAGGGATAGGAAGACGAAGAAACCACATTCCTGTGCTGAGTCATCTCTTAGCTGAGGGTCTTCAGACCAGTTGGTGTCAGCCATTCTGCTGAAATTCATGATCTGAAAAATGCCTTAAATAATTCTTGGGTTAAAAGGTCCAGTGTCAGAGATTTATCTGTAGGAACAATGGGAGAGCAGGTGCTCAGTGTGCTGTGTGACTCTGGATTAGTTTTCAGCTAAGGAAAGTGGGTTGAAGTGCACCAGCACACCCTAGTCAATGACAAACCATAATTCTGCATAAAAGCTAGCTTATAATTCCCATTAAGAAAGTGAGAGCGGTTCCACTATTGTTTTTCCTTCTTTGCTTTTTTCCCATTGGTTGTTCATATATTTTTTTTTAATTTTAGAAGCTTCTTAATTATTAAGGCAATTAATCCTTTATCAATAATATAAATTACAATATTTAGGCTATTAAAAATGTTTTTTTTTACTTTGTGGTAGTTTTGCCATGCATAATTATTTTTGAAAATTTTAATGTAGCCTACTATATTAATATTTTCTTTTATGGTTTCTGGATTTGGGGTCATACTTTAAAAATTATAACTAGAATAATTCTCATCCTCTTTAATTTTTGTTATTTCATTTTTATATTTAAATATTTGATCCATATGAAGTTTATCTTAAACATTATTTTTTCTAGATCAGTTTCTAATTTTCCCCACACATTTATTGAATCTTTTAAATTCCTACTAATATGCAGTGCCACATTTATTATATGTTAAAGTCTCATGTGCATTTGAGTCTACTTATGGAATCTCTCTGTGTCTGCTTTTTATATATCTGGGTAATACTGTTTTAATTATATTAGCTTATTAGCTTGATAGTGTATTTTAACATCAAATGGATTTGTTTTCTGAGAATTGTTCTGAGAATTTAAAGCTTCCACATTCCAAATCCATGTTGCAATTCAGTAATACTAAAATATAATTCTTGGCTATTTAAAAAAACTACATGGCCATGTACCAGGTGTTTATAAAATCTAAAAACATAGATAATATCTTTTCATTTTTTAAAGATTAAAAATGTCTGGCCAGGCATGGTGGCTTATGCCTGTAATCCCAGCACTTTGGGAGGCCAAGGTGGATGATCACAAGGTCAGGAGTTAGAGACCAGCCTGGCCAATATGAAGAAACCTGGCTCACTAAAAATGCAAAAATTAGCCAGGTGCGGTGGTGCACACGTGTAGTCCCAGCTACTCGAGAGGCTGATGCAGAACTGCTTGGCCCCAGGAGGTAGAGGTTACAGTGAACAAAGATGGTGCCACTGGGCGACAGAGCAAGACTCCATCTCAAAAAAAGAAAAGATTAAAAATGTCCTTGATGACATTATGTATGTGTCTGTGTTTTTGTATTGACCTATATGTTTTCAGATTTTATAGATACACTATACAATTGTCAGTTTGAAAATTGTGAAGTCAATCAATTAGGCATAAATGTGAGTCATCAAATAATTTCTTCAAATCCTGAATTTGAGATTTTTAAAATTCTAATAATACTTAAAAAGAGAAAAAAAAATCCACATCTGTGAGCATTAAGTGTTGTCCAGGATGTACTTAAAAAAAGATATTTATAAATTATGCCATCAGAAATGTAAAATATTATCTATTTTGTACATTAAAGAACCCAGTAGAAACTGAGGGATTTGGGCGATGGTAGGAAAATCATATTTATCATGGCTAATTTTACACCCCCAGAAAAGTGTTGGGCATTTTTGCAAGAATCTTCTCTGAGCCCGCTGGTCCAGATGCTTAAAGCAGCCGTCATTTCTCAACTGCATCATTGGACTGAAACCGAACAGGATCACTGTAATATTAAAGCTCTTTTAGGAATGATGAAAGAACTGCATAAGGTAAGAGTTGTTCTAAAGGAATGTAGGTACTATTTTATTCAATTAAAATCCCTTATATTGCAACCATTGGATTTCTAAGAAGTCAAATAAAAATCATGAGTCATCAAATATTTTTTGAAGGAATATAGAAAAGGGAAATGTTTGGCATAAAATAATTAGGGATTAAAAGTTGAGAAACTTTTGAGGACTTAAGATGTTTTGTAATGGGCTTCTTTCATTAAGAAAAAGTACACTGTGCCTGTAATTCTAGCTACTCTAGAAGCTGAGGTGGGAGGATGGTTTGAGCCCCGGAGTTTGAGGTAGCAGTGAGCTAGGATTGTACCACTGTACCCTAGTCTGGGTGAAAGAGCAAAACCACGTCTTAAAAAAAAAAGGAAAAGAAAAGTACATTGAAGCTACTGCTACATGTAACAGCATACAGCAACATGGATGAATCTCATCAACATAGTGATGAACAAAAAGTACACCAAAAATTACACTCTGGCTTGTTTTGCATGAATTTTAAAAACAGAGCTAATCTATAATGACAGAAAGCAGAATGGTGTTACCTCTTGGGAAAGGCAATTGGCTTGGAAGGAGCATAAGGGAACAACCTGAGGCATAGGTAAGCACCTGGACAGTATTTATCCAAATAAGTGTGTATGTAAAACCTCACCAAGATACACATCTAAGACTTATGAGCATGCAAGGTGTGGTGGCTCACGCTTGTAATCCCAGCACTTTGGGAAGCTGAGGCGGGTGGATCACCTGAGGTCGGGAGTTCAAGACCAGCCTGACCAACATGGAGAAGAAACCCTGTCTCTACTAAAAATACAAAATTAGCTGAGCATGGTGGCACATGCTTATAATCCCAGCTACTCAGGAGGCTGAGGCAGGAGAATCCCTTGAATCCGGGAGGTGGAGGTTGCAGTGAGCCAAGATCCTGCCATTGCACTCCAGGCTGGGCAACAAGAGTGAAACTCTGTCTAAAAATAAAAAAAATAAAAATAAAAATAAAAAAATTATGAACTTACTGAATGTATTTTGTAAGAAGAAAAACCCAGAATCACATAGAAAAACCTTCCTTCAAACTAAGAGCAAGCCAAAAGACCAAAAAATGACTAGCACAGCCTGATGAGTAGATGTGTCTATCAGGACTTACATACAGGACACTCCTGGACTTCTGGATGGCAACAGGATAGCTCTAGATATCTGTGCTGCCTCCCACCTCTAAGTTGCTTTTAAGTGAATTTTCTGGGTCAAAGAGCTATGGTGTTTGAGCCATGAGACTGTTTGTCTTGGTAGGTTCTCAGATACTCTCCAGGATTTTGGGTTCTCAGGGATACCTGCTTCTCAGCTGGGCACCATAGCCTTGGCTCACTGCCTGGCCTTCAGGGTTAAGGCCCTGGATATACACCCTTAAGTAACTTGGTGGGGGACCCATCACACTACACATGTGTGATTTGTTTTGTTTTGTTTTGTTTTTTTTGAAATGGAGTCTAGCTCTGTCACCCAGGCTGGACTGCAGTGATTTTGGCTCACTGCAACATCTGCCTCCTGGGTTCAAGTGATTCACCTGCCTCAGCCTCCCAAGTAGCTGGGTCTACAGGCACCACCATCACACCTCGCTAATTTTTGTATTTTTAGTAGAGACGGGGTTTCACCATGTTGGCCAGGCTGGTCTCAAACTCCTGACCTCAAGTGATCCACCCACCTCAGCCTCCCAAAGCACTGGGATTCCAGGTGTGAGCCAATGCACCAGCCCATATATATGGTTTATAAATGAAACATATGTTTTATTTGTAACTTATGAAAGACTAAAAAGAAAGTCTGGCACAGTGGCTCATGCCTATAATCCCAGCACTTTGGGAGGCACAGGCAGGCAGATCACCAGAGGTCAGGAGTTCGAGACCAGCTTGACCAACATAGTGAAACCCCATCTCTACTAAAAATACAAAATTAGCCAGGCATGGGGGCGCATATCTGTAATCTCAGCTACTCGGGAGGCTGAGGCAGGAGAATCGCCTGAACCCGGGAGGCGGAGGTTGCAGTGAGCCGAGATCACGCCATAGCACTCTAGCCTGGGCAACAAGAGCGAAACTCTGTCTTGAAAGGAAGAAAAGTTCACAGAGGACTATGGCCCAAAGAAAGGGCCCAATGGATACTGTTATATCAACTCAGTTTGTTGATATCAGAATATTTGCTAAATCCCACTGTAGAAATATCAAATGAGGCCATTAGGATTTGGTATCCACATTCTCTATGGCTGTGTCAACATTAGGGTCACCAAAAATGCAAAGTTGGTTTTAGTAGAGTTACCTGAAGTCAGTGGTAGCCAGAAGTCACTGAGTTACATTATCCTCATTCTGCCTTGGGTGGTAATCCCAATAAATAGAAATCGAACTGGGCTCTCGACTAGATCTAAAGATGGACATAAGCATGTTATAGGTGAGTGTCTGAATTCCCACAGTGATCAGTGATTCACAGAAGAGCTCTTAAATTCCAGAGATGTAGACCAGGGTAATGAGAGCACTAATATCAAAGGCATCAAGGGCAGCACTTCTCAAACTTTGATATGCACATAAGTTATCTGAGATCTTGTTAAACAATGCAGATTCTGATCCAGTAGGCCTGGTGGTGCCTAAGATTCTGAGAAACTCTTAAGTGATGCCATTACTGATAATCCAAGGATTTATGCTTTGATGTTCTTGTGCCTAGGAAGAAAAGCTATTAAACTAATTAATAATGAATTACTAAATAAGACTATTACATTGTACATTGTAATTTACTGTCTTAAGCTGCAATTAGTAAACATAATATTTGGTCCCAGTTATGGAATGGTCTCTAGTATTGTGGACAAGTGGAAGACTATATTTGTTTTACTAATGTTGTCATAGAGAATGCATAATATTAGGTCATGCTAACTTCAGACATACATCCTGGGACCCAAACATTGTCATCAATCCTCTCTCTCTCTCTCTCTCTCCCTCTCTCCCTCCCCCTCTCCCTCTCTCACTCCCTCTCTCCCTCTCTCCCTCTCTGCTCCCTCCCTCTTTGCTTTTTTCTTTTTGGGTTTCATTCTCTCTTACTATATATAGGGTGTCAGAGCAGGGAACTATTTCTTATATCCAACTTTTGTTTTCTTTCTAGGATAATTTTACTTCTTAATAAAATACACCTCTTTCCCTGGTGCTTTGTAGTACTCCTTATGTTGAAAATCAGGTATTCATTTGGCTGTTAATCTATCTTTGTATCAATACAATACCATACAAGTTACTGTATCTTTATAATAAATATTGACATGTAATAGAATAAGTTTCAACTTTTATCTTCTCCTTCAGTATTATTGTCAAACTTAAATAAAAACTTTAAAATTACCTTTTTGTTCCAATTCCACAAATTTCCATTTGTTGGGCTTTTGATTGTGTTTTTGACCTGGTAGTGAAACGAATCTATAAAACAATTGGAGAGAGAATGACAACTTCACATTATTGAGTCTTCTAAGTCTGATCATGACATAGCTCTCTGTTTGTTTCATTCTTCAATTTCTTACAATAATATAGTGTTCCATATAGAAGTCTTGCAGACTGTTATTAGATAAATCCTGAGTACTTGATATTTTTATGTGATTATGTATCTTTTTAAAACAGCTTTATTTCACAACTATAATCCCAGCACTTTGGGAGGCTGAGGTGAGTGGATCACAAGGTCAAGAGATTGAGACCATCCTGGCCAGCATGGTGAAACCTCGTCTCTACTAAAAATGCAAAAATTAGATGGACGTGGTGGCACATGCCTATAGTCCCAGCTCCCTGGGAGGCTGAGGCAGGAGAATCGCTTCAACCAGGGAACCAGAGGTTGCAGTGAACTGAGATTGTGCCACTGCACTCCAGCCTGAGACAGAGCGAGACTCTGTCTCAAAACACAAAACCAAACAAAATAAACAGCTTTATTGAGATATAATTCACCCATTTAAAATATACAGTGTCACGCTGGTAATCCCAGCACTTTGAGAACCTGGGATAGAAAGATTGCTTGAGCTCAGGAGTTCGAGACCAGCTTGGGCAACATAGTGAGGCCTTGTCTCTATTTTTAAAAAAAATAAAAATTAATAAAATATGCAATGTAATACTTTTCAGTATATTCGTGGAATTGTACAACCTTTACCACAATCAATTTTAGAACATTTTTATCACCCGAAAAGAAGCCCTATACCCATTAGCAGTCACTCCCCATTCTCCCCCCAACTCCCATCCCCTGACTCTGACCTCACCCCTAGGCTATCACAAATCTACTTTCTGTCTCTCCAGATTTGCCTATTCTGGACATTTTATGTAAATTTAATCACCCATTATGTAGTCTTTTGTGGCTAGCTTTTTTCACTTAGCATAGTATTTTCAAGGTTCATCAATGTTGGGGTATGTATGAGTACTTCATTCTTTTTTATTGATGAATAATAAATCATGCATTGTATGAAATACCACATTTTATTTATCCCTTCCTCAGTTGATAGATATTAGGGTTATTTCCACTCTTTGACTATTAGGAAGAATGCTGCTATGTACATGTCTGTACAAATTTTTGTGTAGACATATGTTTCCATTTCCCTTGGGTATATACCAAGAATTGCTGGGCCATATGGCAACTCTAGTTTAATCTTGTGAGGAACTGCCAGACTGTTTTCCAAAGCAGCTGTACCATTTTGTGTTCCCACCAGCACTGTATGACAGTTCTAGTTTTTCCATTTTCTTCTTTGTTTTTATCGGGGGTGCGGGATAGAGTCTTGCTCTGTTGCCCAGGCTGGAGTGCAGCAGAACGATCTCGGCTCACTGTCACCTTCACCTTCACCTCCCAGGTTCAAATGATTCTCCTGCCTCAGCCTCCTGAGGAGCTGGGATTACAGGTGTGCACCCCACACCTGGCTAATTTTTGTATTTTTGTAGAGACAGCATTATACTATGTTGGCCAGGCTAGTCTTGAACTCTTGACCTTAAGTGATCCACCCACCTCTGCCTCTCAAA